GGCGCAAGCTGCCCGTGCCGGGATGGCCGCAGCGAGCCCGCTTTCCCTGATGGTGGCTCTGTGGGGATTATCTGCTTTTTTGCCTCGTTTTTTTTGGTTTTTTTTTTTAAAGGAGGAGCCCAGCAGCCCAAAGCAGGGCTGGCTTTGCTTTAATGGGATTAAAGGAAAGGAAGCAGCTGCTTTTGGCTGTTACCAGAGCCAGCAGAGGAGGGACCCAAAGCTGCCGGGGGCTCGTGGGAGCTGGGGAGAGCAGGTCCAGCTGGGCACGTTGCGCACAGGAGGTCACTGTAGCCGTGGTTAATTAATAGCTGGCCGTTGGTGGGCTCGAGGCTCGTTGTGCTTTAAGTATATACAGGGCCATAAATGCCCCTGAGGCTTCGGTGAAGACCCGACCACAGCTAGGAGCAACGCTAATGTCTTCCTGGTGCAAAGTTAATTACAAAAATTAGCCTCTGTTAAATCGAGCAGCTGTATCTAATTCCAGTGAGGCGCTTTATTTATTTATTTAGTTATTTATTTGCCACAGAAAGGCCTGGGGAGCTGCAGGGGCTGCCGAGAGCCGTCCTCTCTTGCCCTCCCCGTGCCAGGCTGTGCCCCACGGCTGTGGGGAAACCGTGGGACACTGGGAGCCACGTGGCGCAAGCAGGCGCGGTGCTTCGCTTTGCTTTGGTTTTTTTTTTGTTTTTTTTTTTTTTTTTCAAATTCTGAGCCTGTTTCCAGGCTCTGCACAGCGATGACGGGGCCCGTGGGGGTGCCACGTCCCGGTGGCACCTGCGAGTCACGTCCCAGCGTCTCTCTGGCAAACGGAGTTGTTGTCAACAATGAAACCTGTGTTTCCTCTTTAAAACTTTTTAAATCGTAGGTTTGACAGCTAATTTCTAAATGACTGCAAAGCCGTCTGACGAGATGACTTTGTTCCCTTTATTTTAAGGGGAATAATATTGAATGTGAATAAAGCATGAAATATTTACGGCTGTGAGAGGAGCCGGCCCAGCTGGCCCCTCAGTGCTGGGGCTGCGCCTGGGCTTTTGCTGTGCTGAAACAGGCCCAACTCTAGATCTGGTGCACCGACCCATTAAGAATAAAACTGTTCTGATTAGCCAAAATTACTGCTCGTGGCCATATCTCAATTAAACGGCTCTCTGCGGGCACCCCGGGGGTTCATGCGAAGGGTCGTGGTGCTGCTCGTGCCCAAGCTGTGATGTGGCCGTGGCTTTTTCAGGGCAATCTGTTCGGCACAGACCCGCCTGCGATTTCCTCTTCTTGCATTAAAACCAAGATTAAAAAGCACGTAATCCCTCCTGAGTTCCCGTGCAGCTGAGATGCCCTGCAGCAACCTGGCTCCGCACGGCCGGCACCGCTTGCGGGGCACCTTCTAGAGCACCGTCGCACACGCAGACTCGGAGAGGGCAGCGATGGGGAAACTGAGGCACCGTGGTCAGGATCGTACCGAGAGGCTGGGGGGGACGGGGCTGGGAGGGTGGCGGGTCTCTGTGTGCCCGTGTCAGGCTGCAGTTTGCATAATGCTTTTTTTTATGTTTCAGTATTGATTTATTTTCTCTGCTTCCCCTCCTCTGCGGTGCAGGAACGTGGAGGACGTCTGCCGGTTCCCGGACCTGCCGGCTCGCAGGCAGTTGACCTACCAGGCCAAGCAGCTCATCGCCAGGGAGATCGAGCTGGAGAAGATGAGGAGGACGGAGGCTTTGCTGCAGGCGCGAAACCTGGGCGAGGTAGGGAGGGCTTGCGGTGTCCTGTGGTTTTTGGGGGGGGTGGGTCCGTTGATAGGACTTGTCCGTCCTGTGGGGTCGTGGTCTTTCCAAAGCAGCCGACGGCTTTCGCTCTGCAAATGGAAATCCAGGATTAACACCCCCCCCAGTCGCAGCCATCTGCCTTCAGGGCAGCACATCCGCACCGGGGTGACATGCCCGAAGCGCTCATCTTTTTGCAGGAATTCTGGAAAGAAACGCTCGTTGTGAGTTAAAGCTTGAAACCCTTCAACTCTTTAACGAGGGTTGCGACGCGATGGGAATTTTAGTTTGTCTGGCTGCGATTTGTACGTGTCTGGGGGGGGGCTGCCCTGCTCTCTCCTGCCTGCACGTTCCCTTGCAGCTTCACTTCAAGCCTCCCAAAGGTCCCAAAGCCCCTGGGAGGAGCAGAATTACTCTGCCCACTGCCGAAACCCTCCGTGGGGCGGCGGGCAGAAGGCAGGAGAAGGTGGAAACGGGCAAATGTGGAGGCTGAGAAATGGCTCGGGTGTAGCTGGTGCCGCAGGGATAATTAATCCCCGAGAGCCCCTTCTTGCAGCAGAAGGGCTTTCTCGGGGGATGCGTGGGGCAGAGAGATGCTGCAAAAACATCTCCAAAAGCTCCTTGTTTACATGGTGCCAACCGTGAAGTCCCAGGGAAGGGGGCTGCGAACGCGCAGGTGCCCCAAGCGCTGCCGGGGCTAATCTCGTGTGCTGCTGGGAGACAGAAAATGATGAAAAAATCCTTGCCAAGTTGTTTGGATGTTGTAATCAAACCCGGCAGCGATAGAGGGGTCGTGCGGGACGGCTGGCAAGGCACCGTCCTGCCCTCAGGCTGTGCGTCACCTGGGGGGGATGCCCAAACCTTGAGCTCATCCGGCCCCGAGGGGACCCTCACTCAGGGCTCTCCTCCCCGCAGGAGCCCGGGAACGGCCTCGGCGAGGCGGGGGAGCGAGCGGACGCGGGGCCGGCGGTGCCCCCCAACCACCAGCAACGCCTGGAGCACATTGTCCGGAGGGCGGCGGTGGAGGACAAGGTGAGGGGGCTGCAATTTCTACCTAATTTCCTGCCAGCGCGTACCTTGGCTGCTAGAGACTGGCTGTCTCCATTGGTATTTATTTATTTTTAGTACAGTTCCTTTTAATAGCATAGTTTGGCACCGCGTGCCCTGTAATAGCGTCGCTGGGTTTACGGCATGGGGATGAATTAGATCTGGGTGACAATCACGGCCGTGTTCTGCGAAGCTTTCAGGGGTGGGGATGGAAGGAGATGTGAATGGGTTAAAATAGCTGAATTTTGGCTCAGTGGAAGCTACAGGGTTGGGGGGAGAGCCGCTCACCAGGCGGG